TGGGTACTTGAAACTACCTAAGTACCTAATGGATATTGTGATATGATTCATTTTGAATTTATTACAGGTCAATTTATTTTAATACCATAGATAAGTATAATATGTCCTATACCGTCTCCGCTCAGAATCGTTTTTCTTATACAATGATATTATATCATTGAATTCAAATTTAATACCATCCATTAAACAGTAACCCACTTGTAACCTACTGTACAGCAGAGCACCTTTTTTAGTTGTTGTATATAGGGTTGCCACCTTTGAAAGAAAGCAGCCCCGGAGACAGGCCGATAAGCAAAAAAAAAAAAAAAGGTCGTTTAGTCATAAATGTGGTCATTAATGAATTACTTTTCAAATTCTGTGTAGTTTTATAATATCGATGCACGGTTACACTGACACAAAAATTAAAAGCAGATATTCGGATTCGTTCAAACACACTCGACTGTGATGTTGAAACAGATTCGTAAAATCATAATCGTAGACTCATAAAATCATAAACCGTAGTTCATAATCTTATTATTCTTGTTATCTTGAATAAATGGTTTTTATACCGGAAAATAATAAAAAAAAAGGCATAATAATAAAAAAATCGTATGTTATCTTATCTTTATCTCCGACCCGGAGAATAATTCACTGAACCCAGAGCCCGTAGATTTATACGTAAACCCGGATTCTCCGGGTGAAACCTGGAGAGGTGGCAACCCTAGTTGTATATATCTATCGTCGAGTTATAATTATTAAATAATAAATTGATAAATTTTATTAACGAAGTAAAATATTCCATTCTATATAGACTATTGCCATATTCTTTGAATGTTTACGTATAAAATATGGTATGACGTAGATACTAACACGTTATCTGCATTTATACTTTATACCAATATTAATTGTTCAAATATATAGGTAGGTACCTACTTTTATGTACAGAATATTATTACTTATTACATTATTAGTGTCTATTATATTTATACATACTGTTTTGCCTTGTTGGTTATTTAAATATGTATTCAACACTAGTGTAAACAATAATGATAATACGTGCTGCAGTACCTAGTACCTCTACCTATATTATTATTATTATTAATAAGGTATGTAAACCTATACCCGACTACCCGAGTGTAATGTCTTCTATATTATTATGTATGAAGATGTAGTGTACTATTGAAATATCTATACAACTATTGATTTGTTCAATTGTGTACAGCTATAACAGTGTGCATATTTAATACCTATATATTATAATATATATATGCATAGTCGCATATACGTGTCTAAATATCTAGTATCATGGTTGTTATTTAAAATTGATCAAGTCGTAGTTATTTGTACACGATGTATGGCTAATATGCAAATATTGAAATATGGTAACGACCTGTTTACCGTTAATGTCAATATGTCATAATAATACGTTGCCATTGAATGAAAAAATGGTTAACATTTATAAATGTTTAATATTATACTAAATACGTCATAAATAGACAATTATACAATTGACATCCCCGTGGCGCCATCTAGCGGGTTGGTCAGTAGGGCAGACAATACAAATTAAAGAAAATACTCAAGTACGAGTGACATTGTTTTCTTTACATAATATATATTTTATTTTATATTATATCTTTGTTATTTCACTATCTATTGTTCTGATCATGAACTTAGTTGTTCGTAGCAGTGTTGGGTAGTAAAATAACGAAAATTGCAGTAGCCAGTACGCTGTAATAATTTCATTATATTTTATTGAAACTAACGGAATTGTAACGAAATTTCTTTTAAAAATAATTTCTATGGAGTAACGTGTTATTTTCCACGTTATTAAAATAAGTTATGAATGTAGAGTGCATGACATAAACTGAGGGTTAGGATATTCGAGAAAAATTAAAAATCTATAAAATGTATTTACTATTCTGAAAGTTTTAGATAATAATGTTGAATATTATAAAAGGTGCAGGAATTTTAATTATTTTATTCATGTGTATTACATTCATCCATTATCAACATAATGTAACTACATAATCAATGTCTTACATATACTACTATACAATTTATGTACAATAATTAATAGTATACCTATATACCTACTACATATTAAATTCGTTATTATGGACTGAATTTGTCGTTAAATTTTGAAAAAGTAACTTTTAGGTACGCATTACTTTTTGAATGAAAAAGTAACATAACGTGATAAAAATAATGTCGGGTAACGAGAATGTAATTTATACAAAAATATTTAATGTAATGAGTAACGTAATTGAGTTTCTTATCGAAAGTAATTTACCCAACGGCCAACGGTGGCTATTTGTTAGCTCGTAGTTCTGATGACCAAGCCAGGATTAAGGGGAGGAAGGCTAACAGCGGAACTTATATAGTCACGATCACATCTATAAATATCATATGAAGGAAACCCAAGTTCGGAGGAAAGGAAATTACTAATTTACTAGTTTCAACAATTATAAATAATAGTCCAAAGTAAATTATGGTTCATCGATAATCAGTAAATATAACTTCGTACACATTCCCGATACCTACCCCTAACATTTAGAAATTAGCCATCTATGCTGCAGCTGAAGTTAAGTCCTGGGACCGCCTATGATATACTACCTATCAAGATATTACTAAAAGTGTATCTAAAATGTATTTGTTGCAAAATTTTTAAAATTTGTGAATTACAAAAAACGAAATTCATGGGGCTCCTATGAGTCAAGAATATCTCTTACAAAATTGGAAGTATGATTAATAATCTTTAAAATACTTATCATAAAGTTGATCTAATGATTAAGTTGTAGAGTGACTTTACATAGGAGTTATCATAAGTGCCCCATGCTCTACGTTTTTTGTAATTCACAAGTTTTAAAAATTTTGCAACAAATACATTTTAGATACACTTTTAGTGATATCTTGGTAACCTTGAAGTTTCATTAAGAAATTGTTTTAAAGTAAGTTTATTTTCAACTTTTTAGTTCATGTATTAAGTAGAATTAAGAAAAGCATGTTTTAAAAAAAATATTTTGTATTTTTTTTTTATTTCTACTTTTAGTGATAACAATAAATTAGAAACAAAGGATTTTTTGAAAGCATAATTTTTTTTATGTTTTTTTTAGTCTTTATTTCTCATGTTTAAAGAAATAATATAATTATAATAGTCAACAGACAACAACTCACCGTAGAAATTCTTGAAGAACTTCCTTCTTGCTTCACGAACTAGTATAATATGATTAAATATTGAAACACCTATCTATAATAATATTGTTCTGTGTCAGGCTCCACCTATTTTAGCCCCCACTACATCAACTGTTCGAGGTCCGTGCTCGTTGTGAAGCCACGCCCATGCGCACAACTTGGCCGCCGTAGCCTGATCTTATTTTGAATAGACTGTAGAATAATATAGAAGCGACACTCCCCCCCCACTTCACTTTTTTTTTTGACCAAATATAACTTAGCGGGTATTTCACTTAGAGACCCCGGACCGAGGGGGATCTCAGTTTTTAAGGCTCCAGATGAATTTCCACCATTAGGGAACCAAAGCTCCCACCCCCCCCCACATTTTGAGTTAGCCCCGAATTGACAACGGGGTCATGTATTGTCACCGACCCTAGACCTCCATACAAAATTTGAGTCTCCTAGGTCATGTAGAAAAGATTTAAATTGAACTCGCAAGATTTGATGACAACAGAAATGAATGAATGAATGAAACATTGTGAGTTAAAGAAAAGCATGTAATAAAAATTAAAAGAGCCAAAGCCCATGCGTTTGTTTAGTTACGAGTATAACAACAGTAAAACTAATTATTTTACGACCTTATAACACATAAATAATACATTAAAAACCTATGGTATATTTTGATATACTCACATATTATAAATAACTGCGTGTGGCATAATAACACAGTAGCGTATTTTCAATTTTTTTTTTTTGGAGGGGGGTCTTAAAAATAAGGAAGTGTACAATATTATAAAAACACATATGAGTATAAAGTGAAGGACTCCTTTTTGCACAAAAATGATCAAAATATGCAGTTTTAAATACTTTGCTTTGGGGGGATGGCTAAGCCGTGAAAACTATACCAGGCTTTTGCCTCTACTAGTGGATGGATGTTTAGGAAGGTGGTGTTAAATTTGTTGGTCAACCCATGTCAAAGGGTAGGATTTGATTCTACACTTTGTGGTTGGTGGGGTGTGAGATTTCCCTAAGAGTCGGATGTGGGCATGAGTAGAGAAAGAGTTTTTGTAGAACATCGATTTGGATTGGCTATGAATAGAATTTTTGATTGACTTGAAATTTGCTGTTTTAGAAGGACCGAATTTTTAACGATAGTGGGCATACCCGTTATCGTGCGAATGCCGATGTTCTGAACAGATTCGATACGTCTCCAATGAGAGGGACCGATAAAAGGTGCCCAAGAGGGGCCAGCATAAGAAAGAATTGGAGAGACGTAGAGTTTTAGAATATTGAGTTTTGAAGATTTTGGGACAGGGCTAGAACGGTTGAGAATGGGGTAAAGAATTCCGCGAACGCGAGTGGCTTTTTTGGTGATGTCTTGAACGTGTTTATCGAAGGTGAGTTTGCGCCCTATTGTAACGCCGAGGTATTTAGCATGATTGGACCAAGTCACTGGATGGTTGTGCAGTTTTAAATATATTATGCAGCTAAACCTTTATATTATTTTCGAAAAATGCATAAAACATATTACAATTTTGGAAGTAAAAAATCAAAAAAATAAGTAGTTACATAAACAATAATAAAAATAATTTATACACGGGTTTACTAATTTACAGTAGGTCTACTGGATATGGCTTCACCTTGAAGGGCATATCTTCTGATACTTCGAAACGGCAACTATATAATTTGTTTAGCCCAGGTCGATTACCAAAAATACTATGATACTGGTCCAGTAGATTTAATGAGTTTTAAACATTCCTTAACCGGTACTTCCTGGAAATTAACTATACACTCGGACCATGCTTTTATAAGGGAATCGTTAACTTGTTGCGTATGATCGAAACAGTCCAATGGGTGACAAGAAACGGGTGGAGGTATCGAGACTTGCTTTACAAAAGAAATATCAGATATGCAGTATTCCATTGCAGTGGGCATGGGTCGATTTAGTTCTTATGTACGATGATCTGGGTAGATTTGATATCTCCGATCTCTGGTCGGAATGGCGAAATCATGTTTCTCTCGGCCTGGTGGGTTACATAATTCAAAACGACACCGTACTGGGTGAGCTAGTTCGCCAAGAATCATTTAATTTGACAGATGGGGGATAACCAAAAAAATCCCTGGAGCTTCATGTCCAAAAACATTTAGTGGTACATACACTTGCCGGGTGATCTTCTTACTTCGACCTTGGATGGAGGGGGAAATAGTTACCCCCGTTACTGGTAGCGTAGACAGTTTTGATGGGGTGGAAGCTTGACTCTTCAGGGTAACAAAAAACTGTTCGGAGACCGTGGATATGGAAGCACCAAAGTCCATCGGTGCTGGTAAAATGTCGACGTGAAGCTCAGGAGGACGTTTCACAGTGCGTTCAGGAAAATCAGTGTGAGGCGATGATGGTTGGTTGCAGACAGATATGTATCTGGCCCTACTGCAATCACTGACGAGGAGCTTCTTTGTTTCCCGACACAATTAATTGATGAATAGGTGCCCCGGCTAGAGTCGCAGGCTGATTTCTCTGTTGGATTTGATTGTTGGACAAGTTGGCACAAATCACTTCAGGTGGTAACAACCTCTTCCTCCAACGAGGTTATACGGCTGGTATTGTGTCCGATAGTTTCAGTCAGTTTAACGGTTAGGTTCAGAACGAGCCATGTCATCTTCTAATTTTGTGGTTCTTGTATCGACTGCCTGCCACCTCTCCAAACATTGATCCCACCATATAGTCTTATCTTCCCTCATGGCCCGGATTCTAGCTTCGTTGGACCTTTGACTTGCCATTAACTGGGTAAATATCTTTTGAATCAGTTCGTCTACCCTGTCGATGAGGATGCAGACCAGCCATTGTTTAGTGGACTTGTGTCGTCGATAAAACAGTACTCTCTCCACTGAGCTACAGTGCTCGATATTCGGAGTCTACTGACTATGGAGATTGGAGGTCCATGAGTAGCTGGTGAAGTCTATAGAGGTTAGTGTCCTCCCCTCTGGGACAAACAAATTAATTTGAAAGACAATATTTGGCTCTCAAACTCGGCTTGGATCTTTTTCGACGTGATTTATAGGATACATAGAAATCTTGACATAACTTTCTCAGCCTCCTTTCGTCCTGCCAGGACTTTTGCTTTGCTTTGGGGGAATGGCTAAGCCGTGAGACTATTCCAGGCTTTTGCCTCTACTAGTGGATGGATGTTTTGGAGGTGGAGTTAAATTTGTTGGTCAACCCATGACAAAGGGTAGGGTTTGATTCTACGCTTTGTGGTTGGTGGGGTGTGAGATTTCCCTAAGAGTCGGATGTGGGCATGAGTAGAGAAAGAGTTTTTGTAGAACATCGATTTGGATTGGTTATGAATACCCTAACCTAACCTAACCTGCCAGGACTTCTAGATAGAGCATCAATAACATTATCTGATCCGGGTATCCGTTATACATGCAAATGTAAGTCTTGAAGGTGTAACATTCACCGGGTTAATCGAGCGTTTCGCAGGCGATATTGAAATAAAAAAGTTAAGCCTCGATGATCAGTCAGGACAGTGACTGGATATCCGAGAATACCCGACATTTCAAATTTCTCATAAGCAAATATAATAGATAACAATTCGCAGTACTGTTATGGAATAATTACGTCCATGTTGTTTTTGAGCTGAATGATTTTCAGGAGGGAGTGGTTGTACAAAATTGCTTGGGTAGTCGTCACTCCACTGCATCAGAATTGCCCATGACCTCTTTTACAGGAATATTTTCCGGTTTCCCCAACAACTAAATCCATATATCAATCTTTGCTTGACATTACTTTCAGTCCTTTCAAAATATAATTGAATATATATACAAAAATGAATGTTTGTCTATCTGTGTATTCTTTGGTTGCCATGGTTGCAATGGGTTTTGAAGCTATTATAATAATAATTATTGGTTTCCGGGCAACAAAGTGCATGTACTATATCATTTATAATTTAGGTACATTTTTTTGTTGAAAAATAAATTCACATTTTGAACATACAATTTACCCCCATAATAATGGAGTTAAAAACTTATTAACTGGGAAATAATCTAGGGACGATTCTTTTTCGATCCTTGAAAGGTTTTGAAAGATAGGAATTTTATTGTAGGATTTAATCATAGATTTAAAAAGAAAAATTTCTTGAATAAAATAATATTTATTCGTATGAATATCTGAGTATATCATTGGGTAATGGATTGTTTATTGCAGTACAAAAACGAAAAAGTAGTTTGTAACTTTTTTGTATTCAATAGGTAAAACAAACTTAATACATAATAAGAACTATAAGGGGAAAAACATTTATATTCCCATATAACATACACAAAATAACTTTAATAATAATAATATACACCAGTAGTAAGTATTTACATAGAAAATATTGTACAAACGATTAAAAAAACAAAAATAAATGTAAACAGACTTGTACCGTATAGTATTTGCGATTAATCCACATCGTCCGTAAGTCATTACAGCACACGTAGAGTAACGCGTTACGAGTCGGTCATAGATGCAGGTTTAATAACAGAAGAAGAAGACGAAGACGACGATGTGCCCGGTGGCGGAGGAGGCGCGTAAGACGATTTTTTCTTGATCCTGATTTTCGGTTCCTTGCTCGCGCCACCGTTCTCCTCCTCGACGAGGCTCTCGAAATTGCGTATTCCAGCGGCGGCGGCATTCGGGTGGTCTGCCCGCTTCTTGTAGCTGCCGGTGCTCGATTGAGACTCGGCGACGGACCGGCCGTCGCCTTCGTCCCTCTTGTTCAACTCACCGTACGCCGTTTCCTGTGCGCTGTCCCCGCCACCGAACCTCTTCAGCATGGACGGCGACAGCCAGCTGGACCGGCTGTCCTTGCCGGCATGCTGCTGCTGCTGCTGTTGATGATGACCGTGATGATGGTGATGCTGCTGTTTGTCGAGCGACAGCAGCTTGAGCAGGGACGGTGCCAGACCAAGTCCGATTTTCCGTTCGTGGTACACGTCCGATATCGTTGGTTTCGGTTCGTAGTTGAGCTGCCGCAGCTGCGACGTCCTGATGTGGTCCTGCAGCCCGCTGTTCACCACGTCCACGTTAGGCTGAACCTTGGACGGACCGGGTTCCTTTTCCGATATGTCCAGCACCTGGGCCAGGTACAGTGACATCTTGTCCGCGTCGTCCGGCTGGTGGTTCGGTTCGGTGTCCACCACCACGATCTTGTCCAGGATGTCGTTGGGCTTGTGGAGTTTCTTGATCGGAGGTATGGGGGGTAGCGAGTGAGTTCCACGACGAAGTATGGTCGAGTGCCCATTTCCTACGAAATAAAAAAAAAACCACATTAGAAGTCGTTTGATCGACGTGGACGACATAATATAGAAAGGTTTTTGTGTTCACCAAATACAGAGTAACAATATTATCGAATGCGTTTCTAAATATATACCGGAACAATACGTCAAAGTCGTAGGGTAATAATATGATGGTCAACGCTGAATTCTTCGTCAAAAACTACATTAGAATAGATCGGTATAGTTATCACTAGGGTTCGGATTTAAAGACAATATAATCAGTAGAAAGAGCATTTAAAATGTCAAAAGAAGCAATTACAAAAAAAATGTACTAAAAAATTAAATAGTTTGTATATATTGTATATTTAACTAGTGTGTATTAAAAAAAAAAAATCATTATCGTATACTTAGATAAACTGCCTTTAGTAAAACGTTGACGGTTTGGGCTTAAAATATTTGTGTACATAGAAAATGTAATCTGGGTGGACTGACGAACAATTCTGAATCTATAGTAAGTTTTACGCATTATGAACATATTTTAATCTATAGATAGGTAGTATGGGTACTTTTATAAACGTTAAATTAACTGGCCATAAAAAATACTAAATACTCGATAAAGTATTTAGCGATATCAGTAAATATCGCCGATAATAAAGCCCATTAAAAATAAACAGCTGACAATGCACAGTCTTCAGAAAATCTAATCGATCTGTACCGTTTATACGTATGTCATGATGTATACAACTATTAAATCAATTGAAAATGAAACACAATAAAGGCATTTATAAGCAGTGGCGTAGCCAGGGGGGGTTTTGGGTGTTTAAACACCCCCCATTGACATTTCCAACTACTTAATAAATATATTGTTTATAGGGTTCGGGACTCCTTGTATGTTTTATTGTAGTGGTAGTAGGTTATTTTAGATAAGTTATAAATTTGTCTTATGAAATTTTTTTGTCTTATCAAACGATGTTTGAATTTGCATATTTTTGGATATTGTATAGGAAAAGTGTACATTTGAGCGATTTTTCGTATATTTGTGCATATATTGAATTTTTTAAACTTAAATGTAGGTACTTACATACAATTGTCGGGAAAAATCATATTTGGATAACATTGAAAAATATCTTTAAAAATAATATGTTTGGTTAGGTACAATAGGAGCTAATTTTGAGATTTGGGGAAGCCGCGAAGCCTAAAATCATGCTATTATAAAATTGAATAAGCTTAAAAAATTGTAGTAAATGTTTGGGAGGGCTGTTAAAGTTGTTGGTGAATCTAGGCTACAGTTGGCCCTATTTTCGCATTATAAACGGCATACGGTAAGATTTTATAAGTCTCTTTGCAACAAGACTGTGTTAAAACTATAATTGACATCTAGATTCTAGATAGAAGAAATGAAAATCAGTAGATACGTGTTCGTTTATCACGGGGTTCGCATATCACGTTATTCGTTATTACTTATTTATTAACCTAGTATTTTATGCCAGTATTTTTAAAAATCAGGTTTTATTTAACAATAGTTTAAAAATGTCAAAAACATGCAATAGCTGTGTCCTCCGTCCATCATATTAATCAATATATAGGTACCTATATTAAAATTTGTATACCCGCGTTTAAATTATTTTTATCATGTTTATATACCTATTTATTTCTTAGTTTTTTATTACAAAAATTGTATTATATTTTATGAATTTTTCAAAAATAATATAAGAATGTAGCTGCATATATTTAAGCATATTTTGAAAACGTTGAATGCATATTTCGATAATTTTTAGTGCAACAAGTCAAGTCCCGAACCCTAAATTTATTTATATACGAAAACTGTAAAAACTTGGTTTTAATCTATACTTAA